CTCCTCCAGTCCAGAGAGCTCTGACCTCAAGACGGCGACCTCGGCGGCAAGCTCCTCGACCTTTGTCTTCTGAGCGTCACGGTCGGAAGCAAGAGCATCAAGCTCAGACTTAGCGACAGTGTCGGCATTCTTGCTCTTGAGCTCCTCAATGGTGGCGAGAGCCTCAGCAAGTTCCTTCTCAGAACTGCTCTTTGCGGCGGTCGCCTCCTCCAATTGTGCCTTGACAGTAGCAAGCTCAGCCTCCTTGGCCTCAAGCTCTGCTGAGTTGTCGACAGGCTCGGCAGCGGTGGCGGCTGGCTGCTGGCTATCAATCTGGGCCTTGAGCTTCTCAATCTCTGCTTTGTATGACTCAATGGACTTTTCAAGGTCGGAAACGGTGGCGCGGAGGGTCTCAACCTCCTGGTTCACGTCGGCAATCTTAGCCTGAAACTCAGTCTCGCATTCCTCGCGAACAGTGTTCCTTTCCTTGGCCTTGGCTTCGCGTACTTGCTGTACAACGACACTGACCATGTGCTCCTCGAGTTCCTTCTTGTCTTGTTGCAATGTCTGCTCACGCGACTCAAACTCCTTCTCGCGCTCCTTGTGATCCTCCTCTAGACTTCGCACATGCTCGTCTTGTGTGGCGGCAACGCGCTGTGCCTCGTCGAGGTCACTTTCGGCGCGGGCAAGCTTCTTCTTCAGCTTCGAGATTTGCGTCTCAAGGCTGTCAGAATCATCTGGTGAAGGAGGTGATGGAGAGTCTGCTGATGGGGGAGAGCCGTAGGTCAGTATGTTGCTCGGAGGTAGTGTGTTTAGTGGAGATCCTCTTGCATGGAGGGAGATTGGATAGCGGGGAATCGCTGGAGAATGTGTTATTGGGCAGGTGGGGTGGGGGAGGGGGAACATGTGCAAATTACGTACCAGCCTCGTCTTCACTTAGCCGCCTGGGCGCCTCGCGGGGTGTCTCAGGCGGGGTATCTACGCCATTGTCGTAGGCCCTTACGTCTTCTTTGCTTGGTGGTGTAGCCTCAGTGGTGGTGACTGGGGGAGCAACAGGAGCGGGCACTGGAGCGCCCGCGCCAAAGAAGTAATTGTATGCCCTCTTCATACTGCTGGTTCGCTTAGGGATGCCGGGTCGGGTTGAGCTTATCGACTTGCGTCCGCGGCGGTCCTCTTGCTGGCTTCCTTCGGCAGTGACCGTGACGGGTACCAGAGGCTCAGCGTTCCTGTCCCTCCTAGTGCTCAATGTTCGGGCTGGGAGGAGCCGTCTGCTAAACTTCTGAGAGCCGGATTGGATATCGGCGAGGATCTGCTTCTGCTCTTTCGAAGAGACCCTGTGAGGTAGTGTTAGTGTGTTGGTCTGGTATAAGAGAGGTAGGCAACAAGTAACAGGCCAGTTGACATGTGACAGTGGTGCAGGTCAACAATGGGAGTGGGGGTGGGGCAGGTGTTGAAGGGAGCCGAAAAAAAAATAGGTGACAGGTTGAGGGTGCAACAAAGAGGATCTCAAAGGGTGTGGGTAGAGCTTCTTACCGAAAGCGGCTCAGATAGAGGAAAAGGAAAACAAGTGGTTGATGGTGCAGCCCACTGACTTGGGGGGGCAGGTGGGTGGTGGTGAGGGGAAGGAGGGGTGTGTGAGAGGGATGGAGGGGAGGAGGAGGAAGAGGGAAGGGCGTTGACGGGGCAGCGACTCACTCATAGCTTTCTTTCCTGCCCCAGCTCGGCATGATTCACGCGCTTCTTGTGCTATCAGTCGGTCGGGTTTGGTCGGGGTGGGCTTTTGATGAAGCGCCACTAGGACGGCAGATTTAGGGCAATCCAATCAAGAGAACGTCCGTCGACAAGAAAATTTTGTTGCCCTTTCTGAATGTGGGCGGGCCGTCAAGTCTCCTCACCGCACGGTACGAAATGGAGCTTTACTTATGTACAAGCACAGCAACACGTTGGATCCTGCATGCAAGCCCTGGTGGGCAGTCGGGCGCTAACAGTCGGCTACGAGGATGATGCAGAGCAGGAGGGAGGGGAGAGCCAGTCATATACGATGCTATCCCTCTTAGCAGCTGTGACACGGCCTTGCCCTTCACACGCTTTAATGCGCGCCCAAAGCCGCCAGACACACAAAAGCCCATGGCATGGCATGACGGGCGGTCACAGTCCGCGCCCACCCACGCGGCTCCACACCCCTGCCCTTTCTTACCGCCTCGACTAACAACCCTGCCACCACCACCACTACCGCCATCACTGCTGCCGCCGCCCCATCTTCAACAACGCCCCATCGACCACTGACCATTGGCCATGACGATGAGGTTGTCGACGGATGCTGCCGTCATCTCTTTTTTTCTTTTGGTTTTGTTTCCTTGATGGTCACCCAAGGAGTCTGCCTGGAGATCAAGACACAACCAGGACATGACTGGCCTTTTGTACTGTATTCGCCCCCCCGCCTCTCTTCCTCACCAGCACACCACGTCTCCACCACTGCTCGCGGGTACCCCCCATACGCCAATCACAGCTCTGCACGTCAGTACCACCACGTCGCGTCCAAGAACGACGTGCTTTTGCACACCTTCGGACCACCATCGACCTTTTCTCTCGCACGCGCGGTAGCCTGCACGACACACCTCACTCGACTCGCTCTCTCTCCCACTTTGCCCCTCCAACCCCTCCAATTGCCCCCCCCCTCCCCAAACTGTTGACCGAGCGCTCGCATCGCCCGCACAAGGCCCCAGCACGGACACGACGCGTGAAAATGTGACTCGGCATGATGCGAACGCCAATGGCCTGCAGGAACACACGGCCTTTTTTTGTCGTGATTTTTTTTCTGCTGAATCCTGAGAACGAAGCACAGTTTCACTTCTGTTTGCCCGTTATCCTGCAAAGCATGTGAATATGTACTTTCCTCTTTTCTTTTTTTGTCTTCTCTACGTACCTCTGAGGTCCGCGGCAACTAAACAACAAAGCGTGACAGCTGCACCCTGTATCATGCGCACGCGCATCTGCCAGCCAGCCAACTAAACATACAAAAAAACAGGGCTACGGGGCTTACTTCCCTCTTTTTTCCCTCTTCCCTCGTTCAAATGACAGGAAGAGAAAAACTAAGCGGTCGATGCGTTGATGCGTTGTTCGGGCGATCCGCACCATCAGCATCATTTTTCCACTCGCCCAAAGCGCCCTAGCCTCGTCCTGTTGCACGCCTCGCCTCGCCCCCATGTCACTATCACGCTCGTGATCGCCTTAGTAGTCAAGGACGACCTTTACCTCGCCCAAGTGCTCCAAAGCCCTAAAGCTTAATTCCCTCCAACTAACCAACCACCCTCATGCATAAAGAAAAGTGAATAAAACACTCCAACCCAAATAGAAACTACACAATCAACAAAAAAATCCCAACATCAAGACATGCAAAGAAAAAAATCTTTCATTCGTATCCCTCACCGCATCAAACGCGTATCACCACACCATCTCAAACCCCCCTTCCAAATACCCACGCCAGTCGGCCTTTTTTTTTCCCTTTTCCTCGTCCCTTTCTTTCCCTTTCGAAAAGTATACCCTGCATATCCGCACCCGCCGCCTCGCCCGTTGAGCAAGCACAAGCGCCGCCCATTCCCCTCCCCCGCGCCAACCAAACATTCAACCCCAGCCACTCACTTCACACTATCTTTCCCCCCTTCCTCCACCGCCTCTTCCCAATCACAAAAGATCATCACACTGCGCTACTCTAAATTCAAACCATTTCCCGCCCGCCTCATCCGAATAAAAAAACGGATAAAACCCGCAAGAGCAAGAAACAGAAATTGAACCCCCCCCCCCGCGTTGAAGTCCAACTTACCTAGTCCAAATCGACGTACATACATAGAGTAGTGTAAGCTATGCTCCTTCGACGCAGCGCTGAGTTTGCCAAAAAAAAGACCGAGCAGAGGGGTGGGCGGGGGGGAGGGACTTGGCACGTGTGTTGGACGCGGATAGGCCGCGGAAAAAAAAATAGCAATAATATAGTGGTGATAGTACCCGGCAAGTTTGTTTTTTAGTATGCACCAACTAGGAGAGCTTGCTGCGAATATGGGGGTTAGTCAGTCAATTTACGTGGGGGGAGAAGAGGGCGGGGGAAGCTTGAAAGGTAAAAAAAAAGGTAAGCCCCCCTCGTTATTTGTGTGCCGTGGCGTGGGTAAGCAACTACCCTGTTCAACGTTCATTCCGTTCTGTGTAAGTTGGTGTACGTATGGAAAAAAAAAAAGTACATATTATGAACCACCCACAATCAAGCAAAACAATTTACAATAGTTCACTAGTGAAAAAGTGATGGAAACTCAATTTAAGCTTCAAAACGCCCTAGACTATGCTTACTACCTAAACCTTGCTTGGCCATCCGTCGAGGAGGGAGGAATGGAAAGGGAGGGGGAAATAAACACACATACACTCATGTAAACCAAGAGAACCCGCTAAAACACATCTTCACACGCCGGGAGGGAAAGAGGAATCAAGGGAAACAAAGAAACGCCAAATAGCACCCATCAAGAAAGTCCCACCCGCTAAACCACTGTAATGGACGGCCAATGCACACCCCCTCGACTCATGTCGACCGTTGACGCCTTGTGCGAGCTGATGCTGATGCTGCTGCAAGACCCGATCGCCAGCTCCGCCTGGCCGCCCTCGACTCAGCACCAGGCTGCGCACCGTCGTCTTCAGACGAGCAAACAGGCGGTGGAGCACCTCCACTTGCACACGTGGGAGCGCCACTGGGCGATCGCCCCGTCTGTACTTGTGCCCCCTCCGACTGCGAACGGCGGTGCAAGACGTGCAGCAAAGCCATTTGCTGGCCATGTCCAGGGTGGGCGATAGCCCTGGTCCTCGACATGATTTCTCGACTGAGTTGACTCTCGCCCCATGCATATCCGCCAGTATCGCTCCGCCGGTTTCTTCTCGCCTCACGGAAAACTTCTCTGCTCCTCCTCAAATGATTCCGTCCTGTGCATGAAACAAAAAAGAGTGTCAGCTAATATTGACAAAACACAAACTGCTCATTCGAACTAATGTGGAGATCCAAACAGACCCCTTCGTATCCGGTCGCTGATGCCACCATTGCCTGAGCCTGCATTTGCGTTATTAGACGAGTTGCCCTCGGTGGAGGATTGTGGACCTGGGGATGCTGCAGGCTCATCGTGGGGGTCAGTCGACGTGCCCGAACCCGCAGTAAACGCACCAGGCATCTGGGATGTGGGATCATCGTGACCGCCCGATGGGGCAGGGTTGCCAGACTGGTCCTGACCACCCTTGGTGATGCCCTTTCGGCAATGCGGGCAGGTATCGTGCTCTAGCAGCCATGCGGATATGCACGGGTGATGGAACCAATGCTTGCACGGCAGCATTGTCACCTGTTCACCGATATTAACCTCGTCCATACATATGCTACATTCAGCCTTGTGCTCTTCGCCTAGCATCTCCTCGGTAACTTCTTTCCGGGGTAGGGCGTCGATATCAGCCTGAGTGGCGGGGCCGGGTGCATTGCTGGTCGCCGTCTGTTCCATGAGCTGAGAGACGATGCGGTCGAGGCCTTCTTGTGAATATACAAAGTCTCCCATGTTGCCAGCCCCAGGAACCATCATGCCCATTGCAGAGAACAAGTTGAGAATGGGGTTGCCCATGACCCGTTCTCCAGGGCCATGAGTGTGCTCTCCACTAAAAGAGCCCTGGGCTCCGCCTTGAGGAAAGGCATGGGCGTGAACGTGGCCAGGAGGTGCACCGAAAGCGGCAAAGAGCCCCGTCATAACGCTATCCACCTTATTAGCAATTGCATCGTCATGGATCAGTATGCTTTGCTTACTTTGTTAGCTCGTCCACAGGCTCGGCCCGCCCAGCGCCGTTTCCGCCGGGAGGAAAGAGACGAACTCCACCGTGGTATGTGAATCTTCCTCCCCGGATCTGAGGGCCTCCTTCTGTACCTTCGTTCTGTGATTCGTGGAAAGCAGACTGATTCTGATTGGTCCCTGGGCCAGAAAAGAGACCTTCACCCTGGCCTTGCCCCGGAGTCTGTTGCTGGCCCTGCGGCCGTAGGCCAGCGCCAGTCAAGCCGTTCAGCATGGCCATAAAGCCGCCTATGGATCCTGGTGGCATGCCTCCGTGGGGGGACACGGACCTGGTGACAGTAGCTTGTAGGTTGTAGCGTCCGGGGGCGGTCTGTACGAATCGAATATTGCTAATGTCGTCCTCCTCTGGATCGTCATTATGCGACGAATTATGGTGCGGATTGCGAGGTTGGCCTTGTCCAAAACCAGGTATGGAGTCAGAGTCGTCGCCGTCATGTCCAAACATGTTACTGTCTCGGGGGTCATTGTTCTCTTCAATCTGGTCCGGATTAGCAAAAGTCGACTCATGTCCGCTTCATCTCGTGTGGTGAGCTGGAAGCTGGGTTTGACGGCCTCAACTCACGATCTCTGTGAAGTCTGAGCCGCATTCTGGGCAGGATAGACCATGTTCGTCCCGGTACCATTCATCGGCGCATTCGTGACAAAACATCATGTCGCGGTGGCCGGGCCGCTGGGTTTGTGATTGCGCATTCTCACCACTTGACCGGTCCATGATAGCGTACGTATCGCGTAGGATAATATGTAGGGTGATAGGGCGTAGTCGAGAGTTTGGTGCAAGTGATCCAGTCAGGAAGCAACGCTCTAGTAGTGGAGAGGCACAAACGTCGATCGGAAGCTACCGCCCAAGTCAATCAATTCGGAGCCCTGTCATGCGCCGTCGGCAGTTACGCTGTCCAAGTGGGGACGCCCTGCAGATGCAGACAGGTACAGAGTATGACTGTGAAGTCCAGAATCGCTGAATAGGTCGTGGATTGGCAGAGAAGAAATAACAAGAAGAAGCGTGCGGCGAGATTTGGCGATTTGGTGCGGACGATGTCAGATGGAAATGACGTTGCTATCGGGGCAGGGATCCAACGAATGTCCCGCCGCGGGCGTCTTAGACGATCGGAACTCGTCTAACGGGCGCTTGAGGAAAACCGGATTTGAATGGGCGTAGTCGAGAAGTAAGAGGATGCTCGGGTCGGCTGGCGTGATTTTGTTCACGATGCGATTGATTGTCCGGTCGTGACTCTGCGGCACGTTTGTTCCATTGACTGTCCCTCGGTTTCTTTCATGTTCCATTGACTTCCAGCTTTGTCCACCCGTTGAAGCAGTCACATTCAGACGACGCAGCAGACGCAGACATCTGCTGGTATTCGTCCGTGGTCACAAATGCGAATTACAGGGTTTTGTATTTACAAAGTATTCAAATGCCGTCTTGTTTGACCATCTTGGCCAGAGGTATAGAGCCCACCAACGCCTTTCCAAGTGTTTGTATCATCAACGCGCACGAATGCCCAACTTTTTACCGTTCCTCCGTCTTGATCTTGACTGAGAAACGCCGTTGGTCATACTTCACGATCTGCGCGGGCCACCCCTTAGTAGCAAGCTCCCCACCACGCCCGCAGCGACAACAATTCCTCCCACAATCGCGGCACCTACAAGCCCTTCCTTTGCAACCTTCTCGTCGATGAGACTCTTCAAGCTCCCAGCCTGCAAGTTTGCAGGCTCCAGCTCCAGCAAGAGCTCGTTGTATCGTCGGGCCTCAGCGTAATTGCCGAGCTTGTAGTTGCCCAGAGCGAGGTAGTAGAGGCATTCGCGCCGACGCTCGCGCGAGTTGCGAAAGATCTCAGAGAGCAAGCGCACGCCCTCTTGTTGGTCGGGACGAGAGGTTGACTTGATCAAGCCCTAAAGTATCATGAGCCTGGTTGTCGCATATGGCGTTGCGCACATGTGGAGGTACAGCCGTTAGAGCGGGGAAGTCGTACCCATGCGTAGTTGAACTTTGTCTGCAACCCAACATATTCGCCCTCTTTCTCGTACTGTGCGCGAAGGACTTGCAGCTCTTCAGGCTTAAGAGGCGACTCTACGTCGGCAGCATCTAAGGGGAATGAGCGTTCGTCGGCCCAGAAGTCGTTATCCCACTCACACGGTAATGACGGCGGCATGGCGACGGCTGGTGTTGTGGGAAAACCAAGGCAAAATGCGTCTTCCAAAAGGCCTTTGTAGGTGGGTATCGTAGGGTTACTTGGTAGAGGTTTTCGGCGTCAGGAGCGGGCGGTCTCGTGAAAGCTTCAGGTGCCTAAGCCGAGCAGGCGATCTTTTACCGTGACGTACGCCTCGGATCTTGCAAACGCCACAAATGCGCCACACCTGCGTCTCACGCCACAATCACAGACTCCGTTGCCATGCACGCGCTGCTAGCACGGGCCATCCAAACAAGAACATCAACACCACGCCTCCCTCGCCATACACATGATCACCAGTCTGCCACACCACACCCAAGCACACGTTGTATCAAACTCAGATACCCACACATTCGTCACGCGACCCAAGTACACTATTCACAATGCTTCTTGACGAAGATCCCGCTGCCGTAAGGAACATCCTGTCCATGCGATTGGCGCACAACGACTAACACACCAGCAGCTCATTGCGCAATGCACCTCGCACTTCAAAATTGGTAATGACAAAACCTCGCTTCACCGCATCAACGAATCTCTCAGTACCCTGAGCGAATTCCGCACACAGCACTTGCGCTCCATCCAGTCCTCTCTAAGCGCGCTGAACCGCACTCACCAAACACTCTCCGCAAACCACAACCACACACTATCACAGCACAACCCTACCAACCACGCGGCTGAGATTTTACGACTCGACACCGAGAAGTTCAAGATTGCGAAACAAGCCAGCGATTTGGAAATCGAGGGCGAGAGACTACAAAGTGACCTGGCAAGACTAGGAAATGTAGCCAGCGAGCTAGAAGAGGAGGGTGTCGAAGGGGGTGTCGAGCCCAAGGCAGGCGAAGATGCTACTGTGTAAGTTGAAACCCCCGTGAGTAACAAGTGAAAGGCTAACAGGTATTGCAGATTGAAACTCAAACTCTACCGTACCCTCGGCATCGACGTCGAGGCTGACCCGACCACCGGCGAGTACAACAAGGCTGTCATTCGCAATGCTGCAAAGGGAGACGTACATGTTGTCAATATTGACCCCAAGTTTTCGCGACACTTTTACACCAATTACTTCTGGCGGACACTTTGAGTTGGCACGGGAGTATTCGTATTCGCACTGGGCGCCAATCGTGGTTTAGATGATGGCGTCGGGGTCTAGGGCATGGCGTTTATTCACGACTTGATTATGAGATACCTATTTGTTTATGGCGTTGGACTTCTCTTGGATCAATAGTACAATTGACACGTTGTGTCTCATAAACGGATACAGTGCCGGAGTAAATAATCTTGTGGTACACAATTCTACATTATACAAGATAGCAGCACGATTGATAGGGTTGAGCACGAGTATTATCTACAGCGAGCACTTGTGAGGTAACAATCATTTTGGCGAATATAGAAGCCTACTCAAGAAATCAAATTGTGGTAACGATACCAAACTGAAAAAGAAACACCCTTAATCATTCCTATTTCCATGCTACAATTTCTGGGGTAATATGGTACTTGTCCAGGCCCAACAGTCGCAAACGCCATCTTCGAAGTGACACCTTTAAGCCTGTTTTCGCAAAACATGTCAAGGCTAAGAACTTGTGCTTGTCCTGTTACTATCCGGCTCCAACTGATCGTAATCGCCGGTAGTACTTGATTGCTCTGCGTCCCCCTTTCCCCCTTACATCCCTTCGTAAAAAGAAAATCTAGTGTTGAAAATAAATCCATCTACCCGTCTTCGTTCCATCCCTTTGCGTCCCATATCCACTCTATACTTTGAAGCTTCTCATTCTTGTTGTTGTTGTCGTCTACGGGATATAGGTCGAACTCAGTTGTTTTGGCGTTTGACCTTGGTGATGTCGGGAGGACCGTCCCAGGAGCCCGTCACTGAAATTAAGCTCGAAAGCGCTTCCCTTTACATTCGCCCGAAGGACATAGATGGACATTGGTCGACCTGCGCTGGGCTAGGGCAGCTACGTCGTTCATGTTTATTGGTGCAGCCAAAGCGATACTGGCTACTGCCGCAACTGCAATCGCAGCTTTTGTGAAAAGCATTTTGAGGATATGTTGATTTTTTGATTGAGAAAGAATGGTTGTAAAGGTTTTTGAAGTCGGATACTTGGATGTGGAAGTTGCAGTGATGATTCTAAAATGATCGATTCTATTCATCCTTTATATATTGCAGCCGTAAGGGTTGATAATAAGGAAGTCGGATATGATTGATCTGCGTGGATTTGTTGTTTACCGCTACTTCGGTTGTTCTAAGCACTAAAACTTTACAGATACAAACGACAGCGTCAATATACAAGGATTATTTACAAACTAAGAAAAGTTACAGATAGCTCTCCGAGGTTCAGTCATCTACACGTGCAAGGCTTAAAGGGCTAAATCTCTGCGTTAGGTCTTTACAGATAGAGCGTAACGGCTTGCGAAGTAGCTCCGAAACTCTATTCTACCATCATCAACCACCTTTTCGAGACGAAAACCGATTACAAAACAAAACAAGGCATGGATAAAACCTAGAAGTTTCAACAGCCAAGAACGTTCAATTCCATGCAACGCGGAAAAAAGCTAGGATGCGCATCCAACGATACGTTTGGGCCTGTTCGGTTCAAAGGTTTCCATATCAGTTCTGTTGCCCTTGTAGTTTGGGGCGCTTCGATAAGGAAGTGGCAACCTATTCTCGTAGCCAAGAACTTTCCGGAATCTGAATGTAGAATACAGAGAGGAAGTTATTTTGGTTCAGAACTCTATTTCATCATGATGACTTGATAAGCTAGCGCCCACTATCAATCACACAGGATCTAGTCGAATTGCACGTTCACAAACCGCCAGTTGTAAGGAGCGTTTTTCTCCAATGGGTAACCCTGTATCGTTAGTTCCGTAGTCCAAAACTCAAAAGAACGCAAAAACCGAACAGAGGCCCCCCCCCTTTCGGAACGTAATAACCTTATTTCTACGTCCATTTCTTTTGTCTTACACGGAAATGTAGATTAGGTATAGCATACGGGAAAAAACGGATTCCAAATCGAAAACAGGGTACCTTTAGCGGAGAACTTTATTTTAACACACCCGAGCAACACGCCAAAAAGAAATACCTTCCAGAACGAGATTTCTCTCCCCGGTTGGAATGACAGCAGCTGACGTCAGATTCAATCGGGAGAAACTTTACTTGAGAGAGCGGAGGAGTTTCAATAGGATCAATTCAAAACTTTCCTCTTTAGTATGAACCGCGATACTTTCTAAAATTTTCGTAGTTTAAACTTTTGCAATGCGAGGAAGGAAGAGAAGGTGTTATTTGCAGCGGACCGAAAGGGAAAAGACATTGCATTTGCTTCCGACAAAAGGACCGGATCCGTTGTCCGGAATTCCGCTGCCCCTCGCTTTTGCTCACTCTCAATCTTTTAATACTAGACACACTTTCTCATCATCGCTTTTGGGAATATATATCATTTTCTTTGCTGAAGGCAAAACCCCGATTGAATTAACATCTGCACGAGGGAAGTGTTAAATAAATCGAATAGCTTTTCCATTTTCTGCTTCTATACATAACTTTCATTTCTCTGGTGAAGACAATTACTGTCAAAACGAAAAAAAAGAAGATCGATTAAAACCAATTCTACATTTACAAACGCCAAATCTATACTACCGTTTCCCAAACTCAACCCGTAGTAACGCCTTGCTCAACGCACAAAAAAAATATGATGTATACACACCTCTCCTTCTTTCATGCTCCCTCCTCCTTCCCACATCAATCCATCTCAAAAGGAACATCTAACTACTCCCCAAAATCCTCTCATACGCCTCCTCAACCTCCCTCGCCACCTCAAGCAACGTCACAATAACAATCTGATGCGTGACATTCGGCAAACGATCCCTGTGCAACCCGATCCACTCCAGCGGAGGCGTCGCCTCACCCATATCTCTCAGCTGCGGTGTTTCGATCAATGGCGGCTCAAGAGGCGTGTACTCGTATTTCGACTGCGGGACATTAACGACCGCCGTGATCTTTTCTTGATTGTCAGAGGATGTGGAGGGGGCGCGCGGACGGCCCGAGGGCATGGCTGTTTTATCCGTCGTCGAGGCGCTGGAGTCGGGGTTATCGGAAGCATCCTGAAGGGTTTGTGATGTGCTGATTTTAATGTTTGATTCTGGGAGGGGCTTGCCGAGGCGCGAGGCGAGGGTTCGAGAATGGTTAGACCACATGGTGCGGATGTAGGAGATGCGCGAGTAGTTCCAGCCGACGTCGACTTTGCCCTCGAGGGAGCTGCGGAAGAGGTAGTCGATGTGCGTGCTTTTGGGAACTTGCCAGGTGTGCATTGTTGCGATGACTTTGGGGACCCGGAGGATGGTGCCGCCGCGGGCGGAACTGACGCTTGTGGAGACGTCTTCGACATCGAGTTCGGTGACGGGCTTGCTCTTCTTGGGTGTTGGTACGGAGGAGAGGGCTACTGAGAGCTGGCCTAGCGTCATTCCTAGACTGGAATGTATCTTGTTTTTCTTTTCGAGCGCAACGGCGAAACGGGCTTGCATGTCGCCGGCTTCAAGCATCAGGACCTGGTTGTCTATAAAGGTTGAGGGGAAGACACCAAAGCGTATTGAGCGAAGTGTCAGCACCACGTCCGTATGTAGTGAGATTGGTGCCTTGAAGCTGTCTTGGTCGGATTTCGGGAGAATCTGGCTCTGGGATGGCGAACGATCGAACGGTTCAGCTATGGACGATTTGCGACGAAGGAACTTTTCGATGTCCTTGAGAGACTGCTTGTATGCTTGTTGGTTGTCCTGAATCAGTCGCTCAACTGCCTGCCACAGTGCTAGACCTTGCGCAGCACTCGTCGCATGGCAAAACACGTGGACTTTGCCACCATCGAGAATGGCAACCAGTCGGTCTTGTACATCATCACCTTCTGGACGGACGTTGTACATCATGAAGCCAAAATCAGCAATATCTGCCATGAGGAAAGCCTGGAAGTCGAAACCTGTCTTAACACGCAATTGACGGAAAGCCACTGAAGCTTGAATGAGCGGCGTTTGACGAGTGCCTGAATCTTGCAGTGGCCATCCAATCGAAGTGCGCACTTTGATATCATGTAGATCAATGAAACCACTTGTACGACCGGTACTTTCGACACCAATCTTCTCTACACCAACGCAAAGATTCTGCTCCGCTGTAGTAGTCTTCTTAGAAGATGCCCACAGGTTATGGATATGTAGCCATGACTTTCCAATGGATTGACCAAGGTCTAGATCAACCTTGATATCTGCGATGGCTATGTTGGCGTTCCATGGAAAGGCCGTAGCCGCAGCAACTTGCTGGTAGCGTTGTATGAGGTACTCTTGTGGCTCGGAATTGACATTTTCCGGTGTCGGCTTGGATGCCCGCCTGATTTCTGGGGGTACCCAGATTTCTCGAAACAGCAAAAAGTCTTGCAGTTGACGCGCATTGATCTGAAGAGCGGTCGGATTGATCTTAAGAATAGCAGAAATACCACTAGTGCCGCTGAGATGTTTGCTATTCACGAGCGAGAGAACAATAGATTCCATATCGAGGCTGAAGGTGGATTCGCGAGAGTAGACGTGTTGAACAGTGGTTTGAAGCTTCTCAAACATGGCGGACGCAGCAAAGAAATGGCCATGCTCTTGAGACTTGACGCTGTTGACGGTAATGTAAATGTCTTCGACCTTGGCAATTGCTGCAACGCGAGCGATGGGCTGGCAACTAAGACTGAACTCTTGCTTGCATATCCTGAGCCCGAGGTTTAGCCTCGTTCTACCCAAAAGCGTGGCAGGATCGGCTGTGATGATGTTCTCGTCCTCTAGAAGTTTCGCAGCTGGCTTAGATTGTCCTTGTGGTTGTTCGGGCTGGTTAGGCGAATCAGATGTTCCTTTGTCATCTTTTTCACGGACTACTGATTTGATGCTATCGGAGATGTCGATAATGATAGGCACCACGGTGGGGAGCAGAGTGTTGGTGGATCCGTCAACACGAAGCTCGGCGTTCAAAGAGGGATCACTGCCATCGTCCATGTACTCAATCCGGACCGCCACGCCAGGCGCACGCAAAGCCATGCTACTTTTTGACTCGTCACCCACAAACTGGCTGTACCTTCCTTTCTGTTGAGCCCTACTCGAGGAGCCTTGGGCTGGCGTCGCATCGCTACCGTGGATATGAACTACAGCTCCAGCAAAGTTGACGTCAGCTGTCAATGAAGCTAGGCGTTTGTTCCCAAAAGGATTCTTTCTTTGTGCGCCAGTCGTCGTAGGGGTCATGCTCCAATTTGCAGAGGCCTCGCGGAACTTTTTCCCAGCAAGAGAAATTGATTGCTCGATGATGTTCCCAGGCAAAATGAAATGCGAGTCCAGCTGGAGATCGAGAGACTTTCCAGCAGCAAAGAATGCAAGTTTACGTGTATCCTTTGTAGACGCATATGCGACATTGAAGACCATTTTGGGTAGCAATGCTGAGTTCAGTGAGCGGTTTTTCTTGTTTGCCGATACTGGCACCATCTGGAGCCGCATGTCTTCAATCATCAACCGTGCTGCATCATCTTTTTGCGTTGATAGATCAATTCTTCCAAAGGAGAGCACAAGATCCTCAATCTCGTTCTGTGGGAAAGGAGCGACCGAGTTGCCGACGATCCAGCTGACTTGTAGGTCAAGAAGTTCCAAAGAGTATGTGGATGTAAAAAGGGCCCCAGAAGAGTCGCTCTCAGCGTCTTGTTCTGCATGCTGTGTGAGACTACGGGCACATCGCTGAGAGATTCTACTCTTAGTATGTCGAAGACGCCGCAGATACCTCTTTTCTTTGGAAAGGTCCAAATCCTTGATTCGGTCCTGGAGATGATTCATGACATCTACAACAGCAGATGCGGTATCTGCGAATGCATTCACTTCCAGGCCCGCGCTTCGCACACGGTAAACCCTACGCGTGGGCTCGGATTCCTGATCGGTTGTAGCTTGGAAGACTGCGCTGAAGGTCAAGTTGCCACAGCGACGAACCGAGTCAGGATCCTTCAAACTCAGGTCGACTGTGACCTCGTGAATTCGCACGACTGCCTCAGGATAAAGCATAATGCTTTGATCTGCGTCGATGTTCGTGGCGTTGAGTTGTACAGTCGAAAGTCGGAACGCAAGATTTGCGGTTGGTGAATCTTTGCCTTGGCCTGGAGCGCTTGCAGCTATGTGCATTCCATGGAATGTCATTTTCACAGTGAACAACGTGTCCCGAGAAGACGTTAGGGGTTGTGGAACTGGTGACTTTGCAGAAGCCGGAAACATTTCCCCAATGTGAGTCTTCAAAACCTCGATATCGTCCTGGACTGCCTTGAGCATTTGTGCCATCTCGGGTTTGTTGATAGTAGATATCAGGCTCTGGATCTCGGACGCTTGGACGTGTACCTTTTCGACAATGCCCGACGCAGCAATTCTTGTCTGAGTTTCATTTTGTTTGATAGTCAATCTTCCATTGAGTGGTGGCAGCTCGACTGAACTGATAACGTGAGAACCTTCTTTTGATGCGCTGTATAGCCTGTGAAGACTGGCTTCAAGATCGTAATCAACCTGCAGTGTGATGCGCTTTCCGAGAGCTGGAATAACGGCAATGCGTCCAGACGAACCCGTGATCGACCAGCCACAAGGCTGCAATACAGCGAGCTCAATTTGGTATGAGTCCATGAACAGCGCCAGAGAGATGTTTGGAAGCTGTGATATATCTTCTTTGGGCTTTTCGAGCTTTTGATCTACTTTCGTGATCTCTTGTAGTGCTGCAGATTGACGATGGAAATAAGCTACCTCGTCTTTGAGCACCCTGTCTGCGAGTTCGATAAGGCCAAGCACATCATCTTGTACCTTTACAGTAATTCTGTGGCTTGTCGCGGCCACCTTGATCTCGTTGGGCAACCTCTCCGCGCTGCTCTGTTCTGTCATTGCGAAATCTATACTTGGTCGTTCGAACTGGGTCTTGGCAACTAGACGTGAGCGCGAGATGAGCTCGCTCACAGCTACGTCAACATGCAGATGAGCAGACAAGACTTCGCCCAATTTTGACGCCCTGCTATCCGCATCGAGAAAAGAGAAGCGCATGTTTTGAGCAGTATTGATACTCTTGAGGTTGAAGGTGTCTAGAGTGATTTGAACCTTATCGGTCGCGAATACCACCTGCAAATCTTGATCGGACGTGGGACCTGGTCCCGAGAGTTTGTCGGTAGGTGTCGATTTGGCCTGCTCGATTGCTTTGATATTCTCCTTTTGGAAAAGCTTCAGCAAGGATTCGGCAAGCTCACAGATTTCCCACCGGATATGGAATGCGGTTGTTCTTGAGCTTATCTGAACAATTGTAGTCTTCCTTGGAACGTCCTCGGAGTCGACCAGCATGAGTCCATTGTGTTGCGTGGGAGGCAACAACGCAACATTGATTGCCAAAAGCTTCAGCGAGACCTCGCTTTGCCGTGGACCAGGATCGACTGTCAGCTTGATCTCAGCAGACTTGATGTCAATATACAAAGGCGCGGATTCTGACGTCGGCAATTTATTTTCCAGGTGTCCAAAGAGGAATTGGATTGCAAAACTCTTCTTCACGTGTGCGAGATCCCATGTACGCCACTGGTCCAACATTGCAATAATTTGTTGTTCGGCATCTTCTGGAGACGTCACATCTGAGCAAGAGCAATCGCTTAGGAGAGCGTCCTTCTCGGCTTGTGGCAGACACTGCCAAGTATAGCGAAACCTGGAAATAATCTTCCATGAGTCATGGCTGCGTAGATGGTCCCTTGTTGCGCGTAAAGCATACGACGCTTTAGTGAGAAATGCTGGATCCGCATATTGGTCTTGTGCACAGCTGAGATGCCAGGCGAGATAGCGCAATCGCTGCTGATATCTTTGATCGACTTCGGCGAACTGGTGAATGAGCGTTTCAGCCATGAGTGCTGTACGGTGAATAAGCGCTGCCAAATAGTCCACCTTCTTACTTGCCATTGCGTTTTCAAAGGTCCGAAAAGACACATTTATCGATGTCGTGTTGCCTTGAAACATCCAGAACAGGACATCTCTCATCTCAGCTTGAATCGCAACACTTCTAGTAGCAGTGTCGAGAGCGCGCTCAGCCACAGAAAGACCAAGAGACCCCAGCGTTGAGTGCAGCGCAATGGTGTCTTCCCCAGCTCGCTCTCCCGGGAATTTCTTGAGTCTTGCCGTAAGGCCAAGTCGATTGAGAACAACATCGTACTGATCCTGGCCCGTCTCCTGAACAGAATGGGATTGGAAGCTGTGCTGGAATCTGATGTGGGTGAACGGTATGCGAATATTGAACTCAAGTGAGCTGCCTTTCCCCTCCAGTCTATTTCGGTTTTGAAGAATCTTAGTCATAACACTAAGTTGGAAGTCATCCAACAGATCCTCAGGTCGCCTGGGCTGAAGCAGCTCGATCAATTCTGCAACACAGGTAACGAACTCGGGTGTGCAATACGCCCGTATACCTGGCTGAGCACTAACCAGTATACTGGTGTGCGTGAAACTCTCATCAAAACGCTTAGCTGCCACATCATCAAATACGACGTCACTGATGCTCTTTTGCTGTTGGATAGCAGGTATTGCAGGGAATGGTGGCACCTCAGAAAGATCTGGCGTTAGTTCCTCAAAAGCAAAGCAAGGTGCAGCCAAATTGCTAGAGAATGCAATAGATGAGGGGACCCAACCTTGTTCCTGATTGTCGCTAGTTTCAGGTGGCACATGGGAGTGACGTTTGAAATTTGAGAATCTTGGTGAAGCTTCAAGCCGAGCCCCGCTTTCGTTAGAGCCTATGGCCCTATGACCTGGTTTGCGGCGAAGTGTAGATCGAATGCTGTCGGCAAAGGATGAGGCCGATGAAGATTGCTTGCTCTTTTGACGTAACCTTCGCCCTGTAGTAGACGAACGGACTGAGGAGAGGTTGGAAGATGTGAACGAACCATCTTGGCCACTCGGCGGCCCATAAAGGAATATGGGATGAGGCACGTCGGGATACTGCATAGCAGGTGGACGCAGATTATTTCTCATGCCATCCTCTTGACGAAAGGAGCTCTGGTCACCTGAGAGAATGAAGCCAGTACGCTGAGTCCTTTGGTCGTGCATTCTGAGGTGAGCCTGCTGGCGTGCGCGTTCCTCTGAAAAGTCCAGCTTTCGCGTTAACAAGTCAAGCGAGATTGTGGTCTGGAGGTAAGCTTGAGGTACAATATCATCCCCTTCCCTGGACCGCACTCTGTGGTGCGATGCAGCCTCTGATGGAACAGCAATGACGGTCAGGTCAGGCACAACAACATGGAGGCGCTCAGAGAAAGTAGCTCCAGCAAGGTCGTTGAAGTACAGAGATACGGGTCTTGTCTTCAGCACAAGAGCCTCTTTTGCTATATGTATGCAGATACCGATATCATGTGTCCTGAGGCGGAGGAAGGTAGTATCGTGGATGATAGGTATTTCTGTAAGAGGTAAAGTATTCTCATCATCGTCAAGCGTGAAGGCAAACGAACGTGCTGCTCCTGCTGCTACCTCGAGGAATTCCGATGTGCAGTCTCCGGTAATCCTACCGACGTCAAAATCCCAGCTGCAAAGGTAGGTTGGCTCAAGTGGTGGCAATCCGAATAGACGGTGTCCATAGATGACCGTGGAGTCGACGAACAGTTCAGTACGGCCACTCGAAAACTCGTTGGGTACATCAGCGTCTGATAGCAAGCCCCCAAGAGAAATACTAATTGGACTGAAATTCACCATCAAGTCCATGTAGTAGTTTGTGAACCTTAGATCAGCAGAAGCATATGGGAGATCCGCTCGGATGCCACGCTCAGCAGAGTACAGATTGGCGGGTAGTAGTACACAAACATCGTCTGCAGAAACACAGAGGATTACATCCAGATCGTTTGAGATGCTGGATGCATCGCCATTCGGCGATGCCCCTTCTGCTGTAATTTTAGCGGCTGGGAGCCCCTGGAACTCCTCCAGTGTCTTGAAGTGCATGTCGTCGCCGAAATAGTTATCCTTGATCTTCATGAAATGGTGTATGAGCCAGCCGTAAAGTTCAAGGTTGAGCTTATGTCCTTGAATGTCCATGTAGAGTCTGTCGGTGTTCATCGGAGACGTTTCAGCCATGAAGGTATGGCTACCACTTAACGTGAGGCTGCCAAGGTGTGCCACATTTGGTGACTGGACGAATGTCTGCAGCGTGTTCTTTGGTGGCATCAAGATTTCGAGATCTAAGTTTTGGCCTTTGACGTCGAATTTGATCTCATTCTGAAGTGGGCGAAATTTGTCGAGCGGTATGAAGACGTCGCCCTGCAGCCTCTTGCCGGACAGGATGACAAAGTTATTGTCTTCTAAATCGGCTGGATTGTTGATGATGTTGGAGTCATTTGTGTTGAGATAAATCTTGAAGTTGGAAAAGTCGACATTGAGTAGATACTGGAAGGGAACAAAAAGGAAATAGTCAGGCGGCGGGCCAGTTCCCCAATCAGCAACGAGATCCATAATGAGAAACATGTGATCTCTGAGCAAGAAAAGTTCCAAGTCTTGACATTTGATGTTGAACAACCACTTTCGAAGGGTGTTCCAGCCTAGAGGGTTAGACAAGTCGCAGTCAACGGCAAGCGCACCAGAGCGCCACAAGAGGCCATGGTTCACGCTCGACGATATCTCGGTGCTTGGGACATCCACGTCTACTTTGCTCTGATATCCGTGTTCGGAGGCGTACATGTCCATAACATAGTTGACAGTAGATTTCTCAGCTATCTTGACGTCGATCCATGCAAAGGGGCGAACATTCTGCGACCCAGCAGCATCTCTACGCTTTCCCCGCCTGATTCGAGACTTTGCTTTACCCTTGTTCTCACCCAGCTTATCATGTGCCGCCAAGGTGTGGGCCTTGCCTTTCCATTTCCAGTCTTTTGAAGATTCACGAATTGGAATACGCAGTACCGTGTCCTCTTCGATGCTGAGATAGAGCTTGAAAACAGACAGCACGCGGAGGTCTCCGGGCTTCAAGGGAGTCGAAGGAACAGCATCTACGCGTGAAGCGGGGAAGAAGATTGACTGGAAGACACCACGATGTCGGTCTGCCCATGGACCATAGTTGATTATGCCACCAAATATCTGTATGTCCATACCATAATCTGGCGGAGCACATCCGTTCATGTCATATGGGCGCGCAGGGTCCACGTACTTACTGTGGTCCATGTCATTCGGCACAGGACCCGGTACGTCCCAGTAGAAGGAGATGTTGACACACGGACAGTCGGCGATCAAAGATGTCTTTGCATACTCGATGCCATCCCACTCGCCGTGACCATCGTTGGTGGTATCGTCAAGATAACGCGCCAGTCCTTTCCAACGCTCGCGCCCGGGAAACGTCCACTGTGAGTTCAGAGCAGGGTTGTGGTTCCCGGAACTATTTTTGGTGTGAGTGTGGATTGAATCGTTATCTTTTGAAAAGAAACGAAAGAGGCTTGGGAGCCTCGTCAACCAGCGCCAATGCCTCTGATGACTGGCTTCCTTTTCAATGATGCTACCTTCCGAGGATCCCTCAGCAACTTCTTGCTTGAACTGTACGGCGGAATCAAGCTGTCCAATCTTGTAGTCGGGGTTAGGCTTCATATGGACCACGGGATGGGTGACTTGGAAATTGAACAGCTGCCGATACACATCCAGGGGTCCGCTGGTCGATGCATCGAGAGTGCCGGTTGCTTTTTCAAATTGCGCAGTCATAACAGCTAGCGTGTGCTCGTTCCCGACAACGATGGCGCCTTTGACAATGTCGACATGGACCGGGAGCAGCCTGAGGAAAGCGGGAAGGTCGGCCTTGGTGGGGCCAGGTGCAGTGGAGCGGCTTGTATCCTGGCGTGAGACTTTCTTTTCGGCTTGGGTATGTGACTTTTTCAGCTTATTATGGTGGTGGTGTTCGTTCTTCTCTGGCAGTTCCGATCCGGAAACGGAACCTTCGGGGGTCTTTTGCTGTGCGGCATCGCTCTCGGCCTTCTTTTGTACGGCTTCGATGATACCGTCATAGGCAGGGCTGCGGTTGTACAGGAAAGCCTCGATTCCCGACACTTTGATTGAGAAGCGACATGGCAGCTCCTTCCGCGTCTGCTTGCCTCCTTTTTCTGCCTTGTCCACGTTGCCACTGGCACTGCCGGATCTGGCACGGGAAGTACTCGAAAAGTGACTGGCGCTGTCACTACCAGGTGCAGAGCCGTCATCGGTATAGACGCCAGCATCTTTGACGCGACGCAGCCAGTAGTTCCAGGTAATATACCCGCCATGTACCAGGATCGTCTCATTGTGACCGTGATATCGTATGTCTTTAAAGAAGAGGCGGCCGCCAAGCAACGAGACTTGGAGGGCGGTAATGTCAATGTAGGCATTGAAGGCGCGCCATGTGTATGCGCGTATGGCGTATGCGACAAGAGTCGCGAACAGGCGGTTGAAGTAGAAGAGGAAGAAAATGGTCAGGATGCCGCATATGAGCAGTTCAACGAGGAAGATCCTGCGAGCGTTAACTTGGGTTTCCGAGCACGCCCGCACGGAGGGCTCACCAGTTGAAGCCGTCGCGGGGATCCAAGGGCTCCGCGACAATTCCCGCCATGATTGCAGCGCGTTTTATGGCAAAGTGTGTGTGTCTTCATGGCGCCATAGGGGAGACGACGGGCAATGGGCAGCTGCAGTCAGTATGCATGGGACGAGTGGGCTGGAGCGGCGCCAGATCAACGGGACGACATTGGTCTCTACGTGCGCAATCTTTTTCTGTGATATAGGTATGTGTATACGATTATCGCAGCAACGAACAGTGTGTATCAAGTAGCGTTGGGGATGGCGCTACCTCGGGATCCAAAGAATGGAGGCGTCGATGCGCGTCATGGGCGACGTGCAGGGGGGGAAGAACAAGCTTGGGCCTCTCTGCTCCTCCGCAAACCTATTACCACAGCACCGCGGAGGCGAGACGTGCATAAGACCAACAACGCCTGGGCTGCGACCTGTACTGCACGCCATGGCAGTTCTCCGCCGCTAGCATCACCTTTCTTCTTCCTCATCTTTTTCTCTTGAACTTCTCTCGGCCTCTTTTTATTGTCCTCTGTGGTAGCTCTCACGACTACCAACAAACAATCCCCACGCCTCGTTACTATGGACGCAGGCAGCCTCCACCAGGGCCTTGAAGCCGATGGCTTCTCCTCTGGTGGTACTGGGGCTCGCTTTGCACATGCAGTAATCATAGTGGCCGGTGTCTGCGCCCTCGTAGCAAGTCTGGTCACTGTCGTGTAGGTTGCAGTGCAGTTTCTCCATAGTTGACTCCCACTGACGTAGCTATAGTGCTGTCTGGCTACAGACGTGAGTAGGGCCCCTCCAGTTCTGGGAAGCCTATACTAACCCACATGTAGGAAGAACTACAGGAAGCCAGTGCTACAAAGATATGTCGTCCGTATACTGCTTATGTAGGCTTCATTACGCGTCTGCCTTGTCCTTATACTGAACGTCCACAGGGTGCCAATCTACTCGGGCGCATCATGGGCCAGCTTGGTCTCCACTACGGCAGCAGCCTACGTAGAGCCCTTCAGAGACGTTTACGAGGTACCAAGATCACTGTCGCCCTGATTCGCACACACTGACCAGTCCAGGCCTTCACAATCTACACTTTCCTCCAACTGCTTATTAACTTCATTGGCGGCGAGCGCGCCCTCATTATCCTCATGACCGGTCGAGCCCCCGTCTCCCACCTATGGCCACTGAACCTATTCTGCTCCAAGATTGACATCTCCGACCCGCACACGTTCCTTGCTATCAAACGGGGTATCCTTCAATACACATGGGTCAAGCCGCTGCTGTCGGTGGCCACCATCATCATGAAAGCCACGGGCACATACCAGGAAGGTTATATTGGCTTAACTTCGGGCTACTTCTGGAGTGGCATGATCTACAATATCAGCATCACAATCAGTCTGTATGCTCTCGCCATGTTCTGGGTCTGCATGTCCACGGACCTCAAGCCCTTCCGTCCCATGCCCAAATTCCTGTGCATCAAGGGCATCATTTTTGCTTCCTACTGGCAAGGCTTTTTCCTTTCCATCCTCGTGTTCCTTGGTGCTATCCCAGATGACGTCGCCGGTTACACTCCTGACAATCTAGCTGCTGCTATCCAGGATGCCCTCATCTGCTTCGAAATGCCCCTCTTTGCAGTGGCTCACTGGTATGCCTTCTCCTGGCACGATTATGCCGACTCAACCATCTCAGCCGCAAGATTGCCTGTCAAGTATGCACTGCGTGATGCGTTTGGTCCCCTCGATCTCATACAGGACACCAAGGAAACTTTTGCGGGCAAGCATTACGAGTATCGGTACTTTGACGCGCGTGACAATGTACTTGCACACGAGGAATCTTCATCAAGAGCTGCACGAATGGCTGAAGGAATGCGCTTCGAAAGAGGAGGCAAGGGCAAGTACTGGATTCCAAAACCTGGACAAGGCTCGGAGCATGAGCCTCTGCTTAGCAAAGTCACGTCGAGTCGCGCCCGAGCAATGAGCCCTGGACCACACAAAGCTCTCAATGGCGAGGGTGCCAAGTACGGGACACCTGACGTTGTAGAAGAACCCGAACTAGACGCTGATGAAGAGCGACTCTATGAAAATGCACGTGAGCTAGAGTTTGGGGACTGGAATGTAAGTAGGCAAAATCACCAGAATTGCACATTTGGCTGACTTGCACACAGTACCCCGTCATCGAAGCGCATCGGCCATCACGCGAAGACCGCTTATACGCAGATCCCAACATACTGACTGCATCCACCAACCGCAATCTACTACAACCAACCAAGGACCACAAACGAAGACGGAAAAGCCAGATCAAGGAGATCCAATCGTCTGTAGACAAGGGCAAGCAGCGTCGGGGGTCGAGCGCAGCAGGGTCGTCACGCTCAAAGTCACCGCATTCCAAATCACACGCCCCCTTTAGCCACCTTCTGCGTCAAAAGTCATCATCATCGAGCTCTGCCAAGTCGGACCGGACGCAGCTTGTGGACTTGGTTGTTGAAGATCGCCAAGCTGAGGAGGTGGAGCGGGTGCGCGCACGGAAGGAAGGAGGCCCAGGATGGAACGAGGTTCCGGCAAAGCATTTTGTGTAAGTCTAGACTTGAGGCAGACATGGTGCAGATGACTGACTTTTGTTGCAGCCACACGTATCCCAAGGAAGGTGAGACGGAAGAGGTGCGAGAGGGCTTCAACCCTGATGAGCCGGAGACACACAATCCCGAGGCGGAGCACAATCTGAATCGGCCGTTTGCTGTGGACGAGCAAAGCGAGGAGGAGCAGCGGGAGCAAGACATCAAGCCGCACGTGACGAGCGAGGCCAATCATTGGGAAACACGCGACGTCAGTGAGCACAATGAAGATGAGGAGGACCGGCTCAGCCCGTCATATGGTAGTTTCAGAGAGGAGCGGAATGCTTGGAGCCAGAACTAAGGGCGCATGTCACTTGTTCCAAACGCGATGCATATGCCGGTCGATCTTGTTTCATTCCAGGGTGGGTTTGGGCATGAGGATAGGTGTTATCGGCCTTGGAGGGTTTTCTGTTTGCTTTATACCCGATGTTAAGTTCGGTGCGCATCATACATATGGTTTGAGCGGTGGGTTTCTGGCGCGCGGAGTCAATGGCGTTGGTGCAATACATAATTGAATCTATCTTTCGACACGTGGGCTTTCTGGTACGGGTGTGGATAAGTCACCGCTTTCACCCAAGTATTGGATTGGGAGATTCCAAATGCAGCACAGACGTTTCCTGATTAAGAGGCAGGCCCAGTTGGCGAGCCGTATCTGGATGCCGAAGTAACCATGTGTTGGAGTGGCTTGCGCCGCCTGGAAGCAGGCCCGCCAAGCCATGGTGTCTGAGATGGTGATTCGGCAGTTGATTGCACCTGTTGAGATGTCCAGTGTTTCAACGTCTGGCCGTCTTCACCAATGGCGGCATTATGTTTCGAGGGCATTTTGGCTGATATGGGCGATGGCAAGGTGGATTGGCCGTGGGCCATGTGTGTATGCATGCAGGACGGGAGCGAGGCTAGCGTCGAGTGGCGCATCTGCATCTTTGCACATGTGGCAGACACACGCGAGGCGGACCAAAAAAACTATGGAGATTGCCGTCGCGACGAAGCTTTTGGGTCGGTCCCCTCCCAACATCACGATGATCACCCGTCATCGCTACAGATCGCACTACGTGCTCAATGCCAAACACTACCGGCCCGTTGCGCCCCGCACGTCTCAGAGGTTTATGAAAATAGACCTTCGGTGTGGGACTTCCGGGCTCTCAAGCTGCGACAAAGCTGCGCGCATACTCTTACAGGCCCGAAATGAAGCAGCAACCTCAAAGGCCACGCCAACCAACGAGGCGCATATCCCATCAGGCCAGCCAGCCCTTGGCTGTGTCTTTTCTCGCGGTTTCGGTCCGCAAGCGCTATTGCTTCTTCACTGGTCCACACAACGCTGCCACTTCTTCCCGCTATGCCTTGAGCGCTTAACCGTTGGTCCCTCTCAACCAATCACACGTCACACTCTGCCTTTTTGGTACCTTGATGCCAGCAAGCCTCCATGCGAACTAACATGTGAGATTAATGATCGCCATGCCGGGTATGCACTGCTATTGGGCCCATGTATACACGAGAGAGCAGGGAGCAGGCCTCAATCTATAATATGAAAGCAACTGTCGTCCCGTGGCCTGCGACTGGTTTGCTGTTCTTGAGGGCCCTGGTGGACCTACAAGGCTTTGAAGCAAAGGACCACTCAAGTCCAAGGACAACGCATATTCTGTCAACGGTTCAGCCTCTTTTATGCCCCCTGCCTCTTTTGTTCCATCGTCCTTCCCCGCTACTCTTTCTTTTTTTCCTCCCAAACCTTTTTTTCTGTCATTTTTTTCGGTCTGGTAGTGACTAGCTCCATTAGAAGCGCGTCATTCTTCCAGCATCTCATCATTATTGTTGTTGTTGCTGTTTTCTGCTCAACGGTTCTCTCATTTAATTCGGACAATGGGTTACTAGCTGCACTGGTTTGCAAGCATAAAAAGAGATATACATCACGGGACACGAAAATATGCACGAGAAAGAGCAGAGCTCGCCATGGCTGGCCATCAAGTTTGGATGCTGTGCATCCAAGGAGGATGTGATTGATGAATCGAGGGATGATATAAGAGGCATTGGTGGGTTTGATCATGCTCAATGTATACAGTACGACACTGACGTTCATCAATCAGAAGAAACCGACATGCGCATCTGCTATGAGCAGCCTCGTGCTGTGCCCCAGCCCTGTGCTGAGCCAATACATGCGCGTCCATCAACAAGTCAGTCGGTCAGCCGACACGTCTCACAATGGGTGTCAAACAGTCGTGAGTATGCCACACGTGCCTCGTCTCGCACCAGCATCTCCACCCTCGCACGACCTAGCCGCTCGCGAGCCCGCCCTAGTATCAGCCGGCCCACCAACTTTCGACACTTTGACGGCCTTGATGACTTCCCCTCGATGCTCGACGATGCATCCATGCCCGTCCGTCGTCGTCGGAGCTTTCGTCCTCTCGAGCTCTCCATCTACCTACCCAATGGCTGTGGTCGTCTCTCTCCGTTGCCAGACTTTGGCGATGAAGAGTACTGGTCCAATTTGCCGTCACAGCTCTCCCGTCCTCAGGAAGCCCATGTCCGTGTAAGGGACTCGCGTACGAGTTCTGTATCCTCGGAGCCTTCTTCGTCTTCCTATCTTGTCCAACGCAAACCTGTTCGTACCAACTCCGGACGCACCAGTGTGCAGAGTCAGCACAGCACTGTCACACATGAAAGGAGATTGTCTGGAACTACCATGGGCACCATGGCCACGCCTACACTTGCGTTTCTACCTGAAGATTCACCTCTTCCAGAGAACCAAGTAACCGATAAGCCCTCCATCCGTCGTTCACGCACTTCCGGTACATTATCACCAGCACGCGTCCTCTCACGCCTACCCTCCCCATCTCGTGCTCGTGCCAACACCGCGCCCTCCCGTCCTGGGAGCATCCGGCGCACAAAAACCGACGTCGACGATGCCATCCGCGAACTCAACACCATCGTCGAAGAACGCCGCGCAAGCGCCTACCGCTCCCAAACCCAAACTCCATCCTTGATCAACCGCCCTCCGCCCTCCCCCTCCCACCACGTCCCCTACCTCGCCCCCTCAATGCGCATGCATGTGCGCTCTGAGACGCTGTCTGATATCGGCTCCGCCTTCTCGGCACCTCTGAGTTCCAAGGCTCTCCCCTGCACCCCGGAACCTGCCCGCCGAACCACCTTGGGTCTCAGCCTCGCGGTTCCCCCGCGCCTTCACACTGGCCCTCTGACTTCAAACCCTCCCACCCCGCCTCCAGCCGCAACACCCACAACCCCCATTGCCCGGCTCGGCGCTTGGCTCAAACGCTCCACCTCGTCTCTCGCCTCAAGCGCAACATCCCTACCCACAACACCCAAGACAGTAGCCTCTTTCTACAAGTGCGAACCTTCTAGTCGTCCCGGTCTCCCATCATCTTCTGCTTCCTCCAACCTCTCAGACCGCACCCTCCACACCCGTCAAGAATCCCACGGAAGCACCTCCACCACCACAACCGCAACCCTCTACTCTTCCACCACCATCACCACCACCCGCCCCAAATCCCCCATCTCAAGCATCGCCACCACCTCTCCGCCCCGCAAACTCCGCCGCGTCCCCGCTCCCTTAATCCTCGTCGAAGACAAAGAAATCCAAATCGAAAAAGTTGTCCTTACGCCTGGTACGGCGAGTACGCGGGCTGGCAGAGGTTGGAATCCCACCCCGCCTATGAGTCCGAATAGGGATTTACTTAAAGGAATGGAGATTGTGGCAAAGGATGTTAGTGTGGGCGGGAGGTGGAGTCGGCGCAGCTTTTTGAGGAGGGAGGGGGCTGTTGGTGTGGCTTTTTAGAGCATGTTAGGTGGATGAGGGGGTGTCGTTAATTCTTCTTTCCTTCTTGTTTTCAACTTTTTTTTTCTCTCTTCTATGGGGACGGAGGGGGAAGCGCTGGGGGGGTTGTGTAGACGGGCGACTCCCTCCCTCTTCCCCGAAGGATTTTTTTTTTCGAGTTTAGTTTTTTTTTGATACCCAGGTAAGACATTGGATTGGGGTGTGGATGGTGGGAAACAGGCTTCCTCTTTCTTTCTTTCTTTTTTTTCTTTTTCGGCCATATGTCGAACCACTTTAGATATATACCCCTCTGGTTTCGGTTGTTTCCTCCTTTTCTGTTCTGGGTTCCGCCAAAGATGGTCTGTCTTTTGGAGGGGAATAGAAGGAGATGTGGATGGGGTGGATAGGATAGTTTAATATGACTTTTTTGTCTAGATTTTTGGGGTTCTGGTTATGTCATGTGTATTCTCCTTTACTGTGATGTTGGGTTTTGAGGGCGTGGGTGCGTAGAGACATTTTTGCTGTGTTGTCACGAGTGTGGAGGTTAGATGGAAGGAAAAGAAGGACATTAGTATGTGGTAGAAACGGTGACTACGTGTTACACACATTCACGTAGAATTCAAAATCTCCCTTTCATGTAGAAACACGACAGATATATGAGAACCATGGGGTTTATAAATCAAAAGTGTGGAAATAGTAACATTAATTCCAAATTTGTTGCACATGCGAAGGTGAAAAGTTATTGGATTATTTTCTTCAAGTCCAAACGTATATACTTAGACTAAAGAAATCTTACATCATACCTCTTTACTACATTTAAGTACTAGTCCATCATCTTCACATCCCCAGCCCTTTCTTCAGTGAAAATATCGATTTCATCATCACTTTCGTCTTCACATTTTTCTTCAATATAAGAAATCCCCTTCATACCCAAACAAAACATGGAACGCATACCCACGAGTACACTTCACGTTATCGACACTCAGTAAACGTTCCAGTACCATATCTTCTCCAGACTGTGAGAAAGAAAGAACGCGTCAGATTTTAAATCAAATCCCAGCATCTCGAAATCTCCAACTCTCCCGCGGTGCAAACCGCTCTGACGTCCAGCCTATCGTACCCACCAAAATCCAATAACGCCACAAAAGCCAGCTGTGACATTCTCAGATACCGCCTGAGTATAGTAGCGGTCTGGGAGGGCTGAAAGAAAAAACACGCCAGCTATTTCTATCACATAAGGTACGTTTTGGATGTCAGGGCGTCAGAAAGCGCTAGACCCAAATAGGTAGGAGGTAAAGAAGGTAGACACAGCTATATGCATTGAGATGAAAGTAAGACCGAAGCCACACTTGAATGCAAGAACAGGGGTAGGCATTCATGCATTTGAAGCAAACAATGATGAGCACCGTCATACCCACATCTGCATAAGTAAACAAACCGCAAAAGCAAAAGAATCAAGACATCCCAAGATACCTCATCCTACGCCAAAAACAAAAGGTAAAACGCACGTGCGAACCGCGCCATCCCTAGATCCCGCATCTCACCAAACACCTTTCCCTCTCCCGCACCCACGTGCCCTACTTTCCAGCACCGCAATTCGCTACAATCAGATCTCGCATGCTTCGGCCATCGCCGCCAGCATGCTTTACTTTAAGCTCAGTTCAGCACTTTTGTTCAAATCTCCCACCCCTCAAGCGGACCAATCACTCTTGTCACCTTCCCAAAGCGGAAAAGAGGCGTCGCGGGGGACCGCAAGTAATCGGCGCGGATAGCCAATCAGCACGTCGGGATAGCTACACGTTGCTGGGTAAGACGGGTAGGATTTCTTGTGGTAGTGTGTCCATGGCTGCGGTTTGACAGGCAAAAAGTACACAGTAGTTTAGTATGATGCGTTTATACTGTTGCTGTTGGAGATGGTTTAGGGTCAGGGGGAGGCAATTGGGGGAGGGTCCCGGGGAGACCGAGTTAGTGGTGGGGGTCAGCAGCGGAGGTAGGTACCATTGTGGTGATAGTAGGCAACGACAAGGCCCGCGGCTAGTAGTCTACCGTGTAGGACCGGGGTTTCTTAGGACGCGGGTTGCTTGGTATAGAAATTGAATGATAAAAACGGGTTAGAAGTGACGGGTGTATTTAAGGGACATGGGGGCAAGGCTTGTTCTAGAGAGAGGTTTATAGCTGGGACTTCTCACTTACTCTCTCTGTGTGTCGTTCGTTCCCTCACTCGCTCATTCGCTATCTCAACAGCACACCGGTGCTTGTTGCTTTTGCCCAGTCAACAATGGCGTCTCTGACCCGCTTACTCGCCTTGTCGGCATCTGTCGCTACCTCTACGGCCCTTACCATTGCCGAGATCAATGGCGCGAAATTCATCTCTCCGTATAGAGATCAGACCGTGTCTAATGTCTCTGGTATCATTACCGCAAAGGGTCCCGATGGTCTCTGGCTGCGCTCTACAACGCCTGACCGCGATGAGCGCACATCCGAATCGATATACATTTTCGGACGCACATTCGGTAGCAACCTGACTGTCGGAGATACAGTTGTCGTGGGCGGCAAAGTCACCGAATTCCGATCCAACAAGGACTACATTCCCATGACACAATTGTCTACTCCAGTACTGCAGAAGAAACTGAGTTCGGGAGCCAGTGTGCAGCCTTTGGTCATTGGAAAGGATACGCTCAGCCCGCCGGATAAGCAATACAGCAGCCTGGATGGTGGTGACGTCTTCGCCGTGCCGAACAATGTTAGCCAGATCAGCGTAGCAAATCCTGAACTCCAGCCCAAGAAGTTTGGCCTCGATTTCTGGGAAAGCTTGATGGGCGAGTTGGTTACCGTCAAGAAGCCCACTGCTCTGACCAAGCCAAATCAATTTGGCGACACATGGGTTGCAGGCGATTGGAAGGTTTCTGGTCGCAACAGCCGTGGTGGATTGACTATTACGGACAAAGATGCCAACCCAGAGGCCATCATCATCGGTACGCCTCTGGATGGAACCAATAACCCCAAGAACACTAAATTTGGTGATTCGGTCGAGGAGATTACTGGTGTTGTTAGCTATGCATTCGGCTTCTACCGTATTCTACCGAAAACGGCCATCAAGGTGGTCAGCAGCCAGACACCTGCTCTTCCATCTCCATCCAAACTCAAGTCGAACGGAAAATGCGACGGCATTACTTTTGGCGCGTACAACGTGGAGAATCTCGCGCCAAACTCGACTCACCACCCTGACCTCGCAAAACACATTGTTGATTACATGAACAGCCCCGATATCATCTTTGTCCAGGAGATCCAGGATGACAATGGCCCAACCAATGACGGTGGTAAGTTTTTTTTTCAGCAAAATTGCGCAGTCTATCCTTTGTTCTGATTCGCGTGTTGTGTTGCGTTTCACTGGTTTGCACAGATGTAACGTTGCACCCAGCTTAGACTGAGGGCACCTGCTTTGTTGTGACACTGACCTCGTATAGTTGTGTCCGGAAACCTTACGTTGACGACGCTCAGCGCTGCGATCGCTGCTGCAGGAGGACCAAGCTATTCCTTCACTGAGATAGTGCCGGTAGATGATCAGGATGGTGGTCAGCCAGGAGGTAACATTCGCACCGCGTACTTGTACAAGGCCAATATTCTCCGTCTCTACAAGCCAAACCCGGGCAGTTCTTTGGACGCGACCGAGGTAGTTGCTGGCCCTACACTCAAATACAACCCTGGTCGCATTGAGCCTACGAATGCTGCGTGGCAAAACAGCCGAAAGCCGTTGGTTGCGCAGTGGGAGGTTATCGAAAAGGCGAACACAAAGAAGCCGAATGTATTCTTCACCGTCAACGTGCACTTTGGATCAAAAGGAGGAAGCAGCAGCATTCACGGCGACGCGCGACCCCCAGTAAATGGCGGCGTTGGTAAGATTGTCGAAATAGAAACGAGTGCGACAATCGCTGACACTGCAATTTAGATGATCGCCTTGAGCAATCACGTCTAACCGCCAACTTTGTCAAGGTATGTTTAAGGATGATCTGCGGCTGTATGGTACGACGAAGGGCAAATGAGGGTGGCTGCAGCATGCTTCCCGTCTCTTTGTTCCTCGGTAGTACCAGCAACGCCACCTTTGCACAGAAAGACATGCACTTCCCCTGAACAATCCGCCTATAATGTGAACTTGCAGCGAGACTAACGATGAAATAGGATATCCTTTCGCAAGATAAGAACGCTCGCATCGTTACTGCAGGTGACTATAACGAGTTCGCCTTCGTGCAGCCTCTCAAAGAGTATGCCAGTATTTCAGGCCTCAAGGATCTCGACGCGGTTGTCAGGATTGACCCAGTCGAACGCTACACCTATCTGTTTGATATGAATGCTCAGGAGCTGGACCACATGTTTGTCTCGCCAGCACTAGCCAAGAAGGGTAGAGCTGAATTCGAACATCTCCATGTCAACACATGGCCAGATTTTGATTCGCAGATTAGCGACCATGATCCTTCGGTAGCAAGGTTGGATGTGTGCGCTTAGAGGATGCATGACATAATCTAGTAGGCGGTTAAATGAATACAATAGGCAACGCCAACCCTGAGTCTGGCTGCGTTCCGTGAAACCCAAGCGCAATGAACCCGTGCATTAGAGCCTGTCGTCTATCTTTTTAGATGCATAATCTCCGTCTGTTGAGGTGGACAGTACACTATTAATATCGTGCGTTATTGCGGCGTTGTTTGTCCAGGGAAGTTGCTAATTTCAAGGCTGCGAAGACGCAAAGGCACGTTCCAATTGCTAACACCTCGTGCGGCGTCCCAAAGGGCATTTGGTGCATTACTATTGGTAGACGCCTCTTACATGCATCCAACCACGCCATATCAGTGCATCAACACGACAACGTATCATGTCAGCAAGAATTGTGGAGGGGTGTGGATTGGTGGGGAACAGGCGAGAGACTCAGCGGAGGTTTGCTGATCAGCTTGGAAATCCGTTGACGGCCACGCGACAAGCACATGGCTGATTGTGACGTTTGGACTTGCAGGGCTGCTCAGTGGTCCGCAAACCCAGGTCTTGGTTACATACCATACCGCAAGTTGGCTACGTGCGGTCGGCTCAATACCTGTCGCTTGCTCCGATACCGTGGCTCGGGTTTAGAGTGTGTGTAGTGTACAACATGGATCATGGCGCTCAGCTGCACAGTCGCGAGGAGGAGTAGCTTCCATTCTCCCGCCGACAAGGTGGGTAGCCAACTCCCCTGTCGAATTGCATGGAGGCAGTGTTCCATTTACCCGACGCAGCTATCTGGCTTTCGTCAGCCAGATCCCAGTAACCGCAGGCGGAATGGATTTCAACGACAACAAATGATGGCTTGGGGGCGGGGACGGTCAGGCCAAGTCCACGCTCCTAGTTAGCGCTGCCAAGCTTCCCCACGTCCCCAGATCCGACGTCAATGCCCGCTAGATAAGGGCTTTGCTCGACTACCACACAGTGCCGTGATCAAATGCCGTCTGTCTCAGAACCTCAAGAGACGGCGCGGCTGCTATGGCGGAACGAAAGCTAAAAAAAAGCTTCGCCCTTACCGGCTGAAAAACGTTGTCCTGCAGGCCTTCCCGTATCCGTGGTTCCATGTTGAGGGCGCTGTTGCCAAGGTCTTGGGAGGCACATTCACACGGCCAAATGGACGCATGGATAGTGCCGAGAGACTCCAAGTAGCGCCACCACCTAGGCGTTCTGGAACGCAGACAATGCCTAATTCATCGCCTTGGCCCGAAAGCCGGAGTGAGCTCTAGCGGACAAATTGTTTTTGAAAGGCCCGTATGCCGACAGGTCCGCGCTCCTCGACGAACGCAATAGAAGCCCGAGGCTGAAACTTAATCTGAGGCTGGAGGCTTCGTCGGTGTTTGCCAGACACTAGACACGTTGTAGTCCATCTAGTATTGTGGACTAACGTATCGGCGCCATCCGCTGGTGGGTATCGGTGCGACAGATTTGAGATTTGTCCAGACATGGTGGTGGTACTGCAGCCGCTACGGTGCTCTAGCGCCAAGTCAACGTGCGCCGCGATCATCATTCCTTCGTGGGCGTCCGCCACAATAGGACGCAGGAATTGATGGGGCCAGCTAAACGCGCCGTCTTGACCCATTCAACCGCCCCATGGGGTTCCGGGGGGCACTAGCCAACCCGGTCATGTCAACCCTAGCAGAGGCCTATCTCGTTTCGAGGCAACACACACACGGTGTGTGCGAGCCCGGGTACATATAGACCCTTGACTGCCTCTTTGGCCTGCGTCCCCCAGTCTCTCGTACTCCCTCCCATCTGCGACAAAAGCAACATGGCAGCTGCTCCAGACCTCAAAGCCCTCGAGGCTAACGAGAAGGGCGAAGACATCTACACCAACGATGTCAACAGCTCTCAGGCTAGCACTCCGGGCGACATCGATGAGTACCCAGATCCAGACATAGGCAAGAGCGATGAAGAGCGTGCCAAACTCGTAAGAATAGCCTCTTAACCTGCCTATGACCATGACTGATCCGTATCCTAGGACAAAGCACTCGTCTGGAAGATGGACAAGTGGCTCATCCCATGGTTGTCACTCCTCTACTTGCTCTCCTTCTTGGACCGCACCAACATTGGAAATGCTCGTGCCGCCAATATCGAGCGGGACCTTAAAATGGGAGGCCGCGACTACAACCTCGCCTTGACAATCTTCTTCATTTCTTACGCCGGTTTCGAGCCGCTCACCAACATCGCCATCAAGAAATGGTCACCTCGAGTCTTCTTTACCGTCATCATCCTCACGTGGGGCGCCATCATGACACTGATGGGTGTTGTTCACAACAGAGCTGGTCTGCTGGCTGCCCGCTTCTTCCTCGGTATCGCAGAAGCCGGACTGTTTCCTGGTGTCAACTACTACCTCTCGTAAGGCGGAGCCTTTGTTCTAGATCAGACAGTGAGCTAATCTCGATATAGGTGCTGGTACAAGCGTCAGGAGCTTGGTTTCCGTGCCGCGCTCTTCTTTTCGGCCGCTGCGCTTGCTGGCTCGTTTGGTGGTCTTCTCGCTGCCGCCATTACTGAAATGGATGGTGTTGCCGGTTATGAGGGATGGCGATGGATTTGTGAGTTACCATTCTCTGCTGAATCGGAACACGGCTAATCTGTATTGCAGTCATCATCGAAGGTCTTATGACTGTATTCGTCGGTGTTTTCTGCTGGTGGATGGTGTTCAACTTCCCAGACACTGCGAGTTTCCTCTCTCCCGACGAGAAGTTGCGAGCTGTTCGTCGACTTAAGCTTGATGGACAAGCCCGGGCCAAGGTCGGAGGTATTGACCGCCGAGACGTCATTGCAGCTCTCAAGGACTGGAAGACATGGGGATACTCCGTCATCTACATGGGATGTCTCTGCCCGCTCTACTGCTTCTCCCTGTTCCTGCCAACGATTCTTCTTGGCATGGGCCACAAGGGTACCAAGGCCCAGCTCTTGTCCGTCCCGCCTTACGCCGTTGCCGCAGCCATGACCGTCGTTATTGGTTATGTTGCAGACAAGACCAAGAAGCGCGGCTACTGCAACATGTTTGTATCGGCCATTGGATGCGTCGGTTTCGCCATGCTGCTCGCTACCACAAAGCCAAATGTCCAGTACGCTGCCACTTTCCTCGGCGCCATGGGTATCTACCCAACCGTCTCTAACACACTGACGTGGGCTTCCAACAACGTCGAGGGTTCGCTCAAGCGTGGTGTCATGGTTGGTGTCGTTGTCGGTTGGGGTAACATGAACGGTGTTGTATCTTCCAACATCTATGACCCCAAGGAGAAGCCACACTACCGTACTGGTCACGGTATTGTCCTTGGTTACATGGCCTTGTTCCTTTTCGGCGGAACTGTCTTCATGCACTTTGCATTGAAGCGTGAGAACAGCCTCAGGCTGGCGGGCAAGCGCGACCACTGGGTCGAGGGCAAGTCTGAGCAGGAGATTGCTGACTTGGGCGATATGCGACCGGACTTTATCTACACCACCTAAGTCGTTTTGAATATGTGGTTATAGTTCTTTTAGCGACCTGTCCTATATGAGCGCCTTTGACATTGTTGAACGTACAACGATACCCGCGATATTGGGTAGTCTACCTGGGATCCAATTCGCTCGAACGAAGAATGATAGCATAGAAAGAGAAAGTGTGTATATAATGGGGTTCATTGTACAGGAATCAAAAGCATTCGTAGCTTGAACTATTAGTGAGCAGCTGTGCACATGTTATTGGTGACTGTTACCCGGCCGAGAGCTTGTGAAATGTAGAGCCGGTGGTGTGAATCTCACTCTTGATAGCGTCGGTGGCAAATCCAGAAGTGCTGATGGTATGAGAGGAGATGTGACATGTGAGGTGAGTCACGGCCGCGGATGGATATCAACAAGGCAGTGGCGTCACCCAGGTTGAATGGGAAGGAGCACCTCACAACACATGTCAGCAACAGCATGCATAGTACTACTCTATATATATACAATAGTCCTATGTGGTCCAAGTTTCCCACTTACCCCAGAGTATCCACTTCCCTCGTGTGATCTGCACCCTTAGCTTTTACCTGGCCAGACCGCGTCCCGGGACTGCAAACCCACCTTGACAGTGATCGTCGAGACACTTTACCGAGGTTTTCACCGCTTATTGTTAGTAGTAAGCGCGAAGAACAACTTGTCGTATTGCTATGAATTCCTTGAAAATTTAAAATCCCGATTAGGGACAGGGCATGTCGTACAGGAGACTAGTATTAAAGTTAATATACACAAGATGGCGTCTTTGGCTGGAATTACTCCAAACGCCAGATGTACATCAATAAAACCCCATACATGGAAACTTTCTGTTCCAGTAAAATGGTCCCCGCTACCCACATCAAGTCCACATGCACACTTCCCAGTCCACCCTAACCCATCAGACCCTCCCCTCCGCCCTGTCCCAGCCTCTGTTTCTGCTCTTCCCTCTGCTGCTGCCATAGTATCCTCCTTTGCCTCATATCTTCCATCAGTGTTCTTATATCATGGATGAGCTTGTCAGCTAGATACGCCCAGTCACATTCCTTGTGTTTCGCGTGCCTGGAAGAAGCGCCTCGGGAGTATTGGTACCTGTTCGTCGAGGGCTGATGCAGCTGGTGGTATGGCGAGGTGGTGAAGTGGTGGGTCGGGAACATAGTCGGTGGTGGATTGAAGGTGTGCTCCATGGGATTTTTGGTCAAACAAGTCGTAGATGTATGAGAAATAAGGTATGTGTGTTACATTGATTCTTTTTGTGGAGACGGAATGATGTGGTACTTGTATTTGTATTGGTGAAGAAATGACAAACGATCCAGACACTTCAATTTCGTTCGCCATGTCCAAGTCGTTTGGTGGATGTTGCATGAGCAATCGCAATAACAGAGCATCTGCACACAGGTACATCCATCTACGTAAAAATAATACCTCCATCGATAACAATCGTCTGGCCTGTCATGTAATCACTGTCCTTGCTACACAAAAAACTCACCGTACTACTAACATCCTCCGGCACACTTGTCCTGCCCAGCGCGATCAAGTCTTGTGTGTACTTTTTGATCGTCTCGCCCTTCTTTGCCCCAGTCAGTTCGCCCAATTTCTCGTCAATCAGTTCCCACATGGCCGTGCCGACAATACCAGGTGCATACGCATTGACAGTAATTTTGTGCTGTGCCATCTCCATGGCGAAAGCCTGAGTGAGTCCACGGACAGCGTATTTGGAAGCGCTGTAATGGGAGAGTAGTGGAAAGGGTCTGAATGCTACAATGGAGGCTGCGCCGAGGATCTTGCCTCCGGTTCCCTGCGAGATCATCTGCTTGGCGGCGGTTGAGTAGCAGTTGTATACGCCGTAGACTGTGACTTGTTAGAATAAAGTCGATCACAAGCTTTGTCAAGACGTACCATTTACTTCAAACATGCGCTTGAAGTCCTGTTCTGTCAGGTCAAGCAGGCCTTTGACCTGGGCGATTCCAGCATTTGCTACCATTGTGTTGAGCGGTCCCAACTCGGAAACTGATGCCTGTACTAAGGACTGAACCTCGCTCAAGTTTGATACATCTGCAGTGTGTACTACAGACTTGCGGCCTATATCCCG